TCTCATGTTATAGCCAGCCCATGTGTTATGAAGTGAACATAAGGTAAGTAATAGTCGTGGTCTCATGTTAAAGCCGGCCTATGTATATGCATTGAACATAAGGTAAGTAGTCTGTCGTTCTCTTACGTTATAGCCAGCCCATGTGTATACCTTGAACATAAGTTAAGTAACAGTCGTGGTCTCATGTAAAAGCCGGCCTATGTATATGTATTGAACATAAGGTAAGTAGTCTGTCGTTCTCTTACGTTATAGCAAGCCCATTTGTATGCAGTCGTGGTCTCATGTTATAGCCAACCCATGCAGTCAGGCTTGTATACAAACATGTATCACGCGAGAGCATATGTTTATCAACAGCAGTACACATTCTACTACTTTATGTATTTGTACTGTGGTCAAAATCTTCCCTGGTATCAATATACTCAAAATCCTCCACAGCCCACAGGCGGCTGTAATGGAATCCCAGAGGTGCCCTGATCATTATCAATTGTTTACAAGCACCTTTATGTTAATAATTTTCACTAAATTGTTGAAGGTTTCGGATCTTTGCCTTCTTGAGCTGCTTACCTTGGTCGTTGCTTGATTCACGAATGGTTTGATTCGATTCTGAGTAACGACCTGATCAGTATCAGTAGTTTGTCTGCACCATATATGTTCATAGACGTCACCAAAGTGGTAAAGGTTTAAATAACTTAACTACTGCACGAAGATGAACCTTACGTTAATAGTTGGCAGTGCTGTTTGAAGTATGTCAAGGGAAACAACTCCATATGTATAAATTAATGCAGCCAACATAAAATAGGCAGAGAATGGTGAGGTGAGGTGAAATGGGGATTATTGTTTTTGCATAGCGATCTGAATTTTAATTATCTAGTGTGACTACATAACACCAAGTGCTAGATATTAAACTCAGTTGAAAAGCTGATATTGACTTTAACACACAGAGGAAAGACGTCAGGGTTTCCAGCCTTGTCAAGCTGATGAACTGGATGCTGATCGGCAGTTCTTTTGTCTTTACAACTAGTTGTGTGTAGCTGACAGTGAAAATTCTGAAGATTAGATTTGTGTGGTTGCATTCAAAATAGAAGAGGATTTCTAGGATAGGATTCAGGCATGCCTGTTATCACAACTACTGTGACCCTGGTCAATAGAGACACTTCATTGGCATTCAATAGTGCTTTTTCACACATTGTGCCGCGACGCCCTCATGCAACTGGAGAAGTGTTCAAAGTGGTGTTGAATATAAAGCACACACTCCCCAACTAAGTACATGGATTTCATTTTAGGGAACTTCATATGCTTCAAACAGCAGTGACAGTGATCATGACGTTTAACATTTAACTCTTTCCCGTGTGTACCACGTGTATGATGTTGTCAGTGTAGTTCCCTGCTTCTGAAGAATAGGCTGAATGTATACATGCTATGTAAGTGATGTTGGTTGTAGGTGAGGAAGATCTTACGCCTTCACCGTGTGCCTCGGTGGTGATGGGGCACTGCTCTATGCTTCGTCTTTATCAGGTAACTCAATGATGATGCAAGGATCACAGTTATTATAGTGCTATGATAATCATAAGTTCCATACTTTTAATATGGGCTCCAGGAAGTGTTAGTGCTGCGACCTTTTGCACTTCTTAGCCCTGCCTGCTGGATTAATGTTCGCCCCGTAAACAGTGTCCGAAATAACTGCCCGTGGTTGGTAACTTTCCTATTGGGCTGCAGATAATTTTATGATTTCTTGCGTATTCAGTTTTTTTTATTTCTCCTGTAGATACTTTTGTAATTGTTTGCATTATTTTTACTTAATCAAGATCATAAGTCGTGCTTTGTGTCTTATTTGTGGGATTTTTCAATATTTCTTATGTCTGAATGTGGGGGTCACCTGCTTGACTGTCTGCAGGTGATAACTGGAGATAAGTCTTCAGTCCATGTAATCAAATCATAGGCCTATCTGAAGGGTGAATCCAAGAGATGTGAGGCTCTCCCTCCTCCCTCCTCCCATGTTACTTTATTTTGATGAGATATAGAGCCTAAAGGCTTTCTCTCTCAAATATTATATCAGACTGTCAGTTTGTTTTTTCTTTGCGAAAATGGCATTCATCAAGGTGGGGGGGACCTTTTAAATTTTCTTCCACATCATCAAGACAATGACGAGGAATATTTAAATGTGTTTTCTGTAGAGTAGTTTATATTAAATATGTAACTAGAAAGACATGAAGAAACATTGAAAGTGGACAGCAGTCGTGACTGTAGATAATTGGGCTTCCAGATTATGTCACGTTCGTTCATCATTCCTAACGTCCGTGTTGGATTACCCAAATGGGTATGATGTGTGAAACTATTTGGGTGGGTACTGAGTAGGACCCGGGTACCCACAGGACTACCCGGACCCATGGTTAGTCAAGTGATAAATTGTTTAATGAAAAAATAATCTAGAACTCTATGGTTACACCTCAAGTCACTAATGCTCACACATCTTTCGGACTACGCACCCATTCCTTCTGACTTATATATGTTTGAAATAAAGATATAACTTCTGTCAACTTCAGTGTATGCATGACCAGATCGTTTTATACATATATCTAAATACATTTTGTCCAGGGCTACGGTCAAACTGTTCCAAATCGGACATTGTGTACCTATCTCTTGATACCTACTCCAAGGTAGTTTCGGGAAATGAGGGTTTGGTACCCGGGTAGTAAATTTGGACTCGACCCAGCCCTAATTTTTACCATCCCCTGCCATGATATTGCTGGAATCTAAAATAAATCGGCGAAAGACCACACCCACTCACTACTGTGTTGGCTTGCAGCCTGAGTTCCTTCAGTTAGACAACACTCAAATCTGTTTGAAAAGTTGAGTTAAAGTCCATTGAAAAATCCATTGGCGAACGTTGGCTTCAGGTTGGCTTGTCTGTTCATAATAGGTTCTGATGGTGGAAATTACCGCCCCTTGATCATCTAACCAGAAACATGTCTGACACTTGCTGATATGAAGTTGTACATGATGTGAATTAGTTATTATGATGTCGAGTGCTGTGTGTAGAGTGTTGTTGTCTCCCCAGCAAAGTGTTCCTCCTGTGATGGCCTTCAACATGGGTCCCTCGGCTTCCTCTTTCCATTCCATTTCTGCAACTTCCAGGAACAAGTTACAGTGTTTTACAAGGTACGGTGTATAGACATAGTGTCGGAGTAATAGGGAAACAATAACACGAGTTGCTGAAATCTGACAGTACAAGTTCATTTTATGCATTCTCATATCTCGCAAGGCAAGATAGACACCACTAATGTGTAAAGATGCACGCAGTTGGCACCTATAATAAACCATGGTGCATTTTCAGTTTACATCTAGTTCTTGTAAAAACTAAGATCCTGTATGTTAATTTGTGTAAAATCTGTACATAAGTTTACTTGATATGAATGCATTATTTTATTTGTTCAGCAGATTCATGTTTACTATTAAAAAGAAATTTAGTTAATTTTTTGTTTGAACTTCCCTTTCATAATTGTTAATCATGTTAATGAAGAATAGAAAATGGCAGTAAAAGCTGCGATTCTGACACAAGGTGGCTGATGGTTGATGCGATACATATCATCATTCTGCACATTCCCACAGTGGTGAACAGCTGTGACCTGGGGGTTCCTCTCACATTAAGATTTATAAAAAAAATTCAAACTTGATTTTTTTTTTTATGCTGGCAGCCATATTTGATTTCCATTCTCAGACGTTAAGCATTCTCAATTTCAATATGGCAGCCATGTAGCCATCTTTGATTTAATAAAAAGAATTTTCTGAAATAATATTCTCCGAAACTTAGAAATCTGAAACTTGGAGGGTAGGATGGGCAGGTTTGTTCAAGGCATCAAATATGGCTGCCAGTCATTCAGGATGTGATGTTTTTATTGTTTCAGGGGATGCTTCTCTGCTGTTGCGATACCGCCTCAAATGTGTTGTATGTAATCAGGGTTCCTAGTGCTCCAGAACACCTCATGTAAAAAAATATGGACAAGAAATATTAGGAGCTGACACGCCGTGATATAACCGGAATACTGTTAAAATCGGCGTTAAACCCAACTCACTCACTTACTATGTGAAAGTGTGGTTAGGGCTTTGTGAAAGTCCTTGGACATAGTCTTGTGAAGTCTTCTGTTGGCCTTGTGAAGTCTAGTGATGGTCTGAGAAAGGTTTTGTGAAGGTCTGGTGAAGTCTAGTGATGGTCTTGTGAGTCTAGTGATAGTCTTGTGAGGGCTTTGTAAAGGTCTAGGGATGGTCTTGTGAAGTCTAGTGATGGTCTTTTGAGTCTAATGATGGTCTTGTGAAGTCTAGGGATGGTCTTGTGAAGTCTAGTGATGGTCTTTTGAGTCTAGGGATGGTCTTGTGAAGTCTAGTGATGGTCTTGTGAAGTCTAGTGATGGTCTTGTGAAGTCTAGGGATGGTCTTTTGAAGTCTAGTGATGGTCCGGTGAGGGTTTCGTGAAAGTCTTGTGATTGTCTTGTGATGGTTTTGTGAATGTCATAAGATTGTCCGCAGTTGCAGTCAATTGACCCAGCATCATGTCTGTGGTGAGGTCATACAATGGTCTTTTAAAGGTCCATATAAAGCTTGTGTGATGTTCATTGACGCAGCATTATGTCTGTGGAGATGGGCACAAGTTCTTGGATCATATGCGTCGCTGCTGTCATATGATGAAACACATCACATCAACACCTTCAGATAAAGGGGGATAACTCCAGCCCAGAAAGCTATACAGTGATGAGAATCGTAGGAAATTATCTCTTAAGGCTTGAAGTTTCTTATGACATAATGTCTTCGAGAATGTTTGAATAGTGCACTGACATCGCACAAGGCTTTCAGTGATCATTCATTTACATTCTCAACTCCGTAGGGAGTATTCTTCTGTGTGGATTGCAGTTACAAAAAGTCCACTGCAACTTGTCGTTATAGGCTACTGAATGGATGGTGTGGTCAGGTTCCGTGACTTGTTTTTTAGCTTTTCATCAAACCCTAATGGCATAATATCAACCACTGGATAGCCTGGTCCTGCCTTGATTATAACAGACCCCTGTCATAGAGCTGGAATATGGTAAAGAAACAAAACAAGTTGCAAATGTGAAAGTGAAATACAGTAATTGTCAGATCTAACTTGTCTTTAGAAATATCTTTATCTTCTTGTAAGTGTGAACCTCCACATGCTTGTGTAACGTATGTGTTTGCTTGTTCAGATCATGGTGTCTCCGGATGCGCGGAACAATGCCTGGGTGTCCTTTGATGGCCGGAACAGACAGGAAATACAGCAAGGAGACACGTGAGTAGAGGTTTAGATGTTGTCTATCGTAGGTTTCACTTTGTTTTAAAGTATGACCTATAACAATGTGGAATGTTTAGTTGAAAGAACATTTATGAGTATTATCGACTAACTGTACCTCATTTGTTGGCTACGTATAAGCACAGCGATGTACCCGATTCCCTCGGTGTGTAAACTGTATAACCATGTATACTATAACTTACTGCCCCTCACTTCCAGGCTGCGTATCACCACAGCAATGTACCCGATTCACTCGGTGTGTAAACTGTATAACCATGTATACTATAACTTACTGCCCCTCACTTCTAGGCTACGTATCACCACAGCGATGTACTCGATTCCCTCGGTGTGTACACTGTATAACCATGTATACTATAACTTACTGTCCCTCACTTCCAGGCTGCGTATCACCACGGCGATGTACCCAGTTCCCTCGGTGTGTGCCAAGGACCAAATAGACGATTGGTTTGATGGTCTCACTGACTGTCTCCACTGGAACGTACGGCGGCAACAGAAGACGTTACCTTCATTACCCAGCACCACCAGTCTGGACTCCGTTATCTTGGACCCTGACAGTAACTGACCAAGGTGTATGTGTAACGAGCCTACAAGTAAATTCTAGCAGGAAATATACGTCATAAATGTGCTTTTATAGACCCTGACTCACCAACCAGGACACCGTGAGATTGGTGTTGTGTCAACTGTGTTCACTGCTGAAGATCATCTGAACTGTATAACTGACCACGTCAAGTGCAAGGTCAAGGTCAAGGCTGTGATTAACAAGACACCATGATTAGACAGCTTCTATGTACCTCCAGATTCATAAAAGGTTATTTGGATTTGGCAGGAGGTGAAGATGTGTGAGATCAAGACTATCTAGGTGTGCAGGTGTTTGTGTGCACATCTGTCTGAATGTCTGGTATCTAAGTGTCAAGATGTGCTGGTATCTAGGTGTCTGTGTGCACATCTGTCTGAATGTCTGGTATCTAAGTGTCAAGATGTGCTGGTATCTAGGTGTCCAGAAGCCCTGGTATCTAGGCGTCCAGGTGTTTGTGTGCACATCTGTCTGAATGTCTGGTATCTAAGTGTCAAGATGTGCTGGTATCTAGGCGTCCAGGTGTCTGTGTGCACATCTGTCTGAATGTCTGGTATCTAAGTGTCAAGATGTGCTGGTATCTAGGCGTCCAGGTGTTTGTGTGCACATCTGTCTGAATGTCTGGTATCTAAGTGTCAAGATGTGCTGGCATCTAGGCGTCCAGGTATCTGTGTGCACATCTGTCTGAATGTCTGGTATCTAAGTGTCAAGATGTGCTGGTATCTAGGCGTCCAGGTGTTTGTGTGCACATCTGTCTGAATGTCTGGTATCTAAGTGTCAAGATGTGCTGGTATCTAGGTGTCCAGATGCCCTGGTATCTAGAATCAAGATGCCCTGGTATGTAGGTGTCCAGATGCTATGGTATCTTGGTGTCTGGGTGTTCCGGTACTCAGTGTCCTGTCCTCAAAACTCGAGCTAGCTCATGTTACCCTATAAGGAATACAGTCACATCTGTTTTTGATAGAGATGAAACTTTGGAATCGAATCATCTTTTATAATTCTATATGATCACAGTGCAATAATACCAGCTTGATCGGGAAGGTGAGAGGGACAACTGGGTCACATTGACCTTTTCCATTGGCGCCGTTATCTGGTATATTAAATGTGTATACACAGTCTCATGCAAAGGGTGTGTTTCTGCTGTTGTATTGACACTGTGGTCAACTGGCATTTGTATATATGTCAGATACGTAGTTTAAAATGTTTTAAATGGCTGAGAAGGTGATGGAGGGAGATATCGTTATTCATTGTGTCTGTCTGGACAGAATGATTTAGTTTAATTATCCCGTTAATTGTTCATACATCATTAATATATATGTCAATAGGTTTGTGTTAGTTGATGTTTCATAATTCTCTCGGGAAGCAGTTTTTTTGTCATGGAAACAGATGATGTCATCCCTTTCCGGTGACCACTTAACATTCCTGAAAACTGTAATATTTCCAATAGCAAGGCACATTAATAATTTATTTTACTTAAAGAAAAAGACTGGACTACAGCTGCTTTTTAAGTTTTAAGGGTTTTTATTACTGTATGGTGATAGAGTAACTACCTGCCCAGTTTGGCAATGCTCACTGCGGTATATCACGATGTGTGATTGTACTTGTTATAAAATTGTATATGCGAATGAAGTTCACATGCTACTAGCACGATGTCATACAAGCTCATCACAAGGTTACTACAAGTTTAGTACGATGTTTAGTAGAAATGTGATTTCTGAATTATACTGATGTTGGTACGATATAGACTAGTTTCGTACGAGTTGAGTACGCGATACTTACAACCTTATGACGACATTAACACGATCTCTATGAGTTTATCACGATGTCAACACGACTAAACCGCAACCAGAATAAGACCGCATGTTGCGGCTGCCATCTTGTCAAGTCAAGTCCGGTGCAAGAACACCTTGCTGCAGGAGCTGACACGAGAGACCATGACAGGGTTCTAGAACTTCCCTATGGTGGACCCGCATAGAGAGTCCTTACCCTTCTCCCCGAGTCCTGAGGGACTGGTCCTGGACCTGGTCCTAGTTCTGTGTGGGTGTGGTTGTGCGTAATCTCCAGACTGGGGTGGGTGATGCAACCCACACACTCATCCAACCGTGACTATATCGTAGCGGACTTAGATAAGCTCGTATTCAACACTTGATTATCGTAGTGAACTCTAGGTACACCGTAGCTAACTTGAAGTATGCACGTTTCCCATATCATACTCGTGACAAGGACACGGTTTGCTCTTCCCCATGCAAATTATAATGTGTTGTGCTCTCATGAATCGAACTAACTTTGTGTCTATCGTGAAGACGTACTCACATGGTGTCTATCGTGAAAAAGTCGTGTTTATGTCAGGTCAATTACAGCACGAGGTCGCTACGAGTGTGGTATGACATACAAAAGCTTCCTTCGAACACAACCTTGGACAACACATATATAACACGAGCAAGGCACGATGTCACATGATCCAACCACAATTGTGATCACGAGCACATAAGGAGTGAAGTTCGAGTATATTACGAGCTGATGTAACGATTGCTCACGCGAGCTTAACATTGTGAAATGTCCCAGCCTAAATCACGAAAGGTTACTGGTAGCGTAACATACAAGAAATGAATTGAAGCAACATGCAGTTTTAAGTGGTTCTTTAAATGACGATGTGAAGAGTTACCTCCCTTCCAATATCAATCAACTGGTAGTTGAAAATGGTAGTTACGAAAGGACTTTGCAGGAAGAATAAGAAAATTATTTTTAATTGTTCACTTATGATTGTTTATCTATACAGCAAATAATGCAAACCCTGGAAATACACAAAGAAAGTATGTCCATGTTGTAAATTGAAAACCAAAACATGAGAGTAATTTATTTAATCACCTCCACATTGTGTCTTTACTGTGCACCTGCTGTTGTTAATCATATATATGTGTTGTATGTTTCACCAGCTGATAAATTTATATGTGTTAAAGTTAAAAGAAATGCCGAGACATTAAGCCAAGAGCAGAATCTTTTTGCAATACTAATATGAACATTGTCACTCGCTGTTTTCCAATGAGTTTTTTTATCAGACCATAGGTTTCCAATCACATAATCAGTCTTCCTGCATTCTGTGTGAAACATTTCTCTATGCCATCCACATGTACAGCCACATAGGTAGTTTCAGTAACCCACGACTTCTCAGTTAACCTGTAAAATATAGAGTAGTCAGCAGACATCTTTAACAAATACTTGTAGTTGTAAGACCAGTAGTAGCAAATGGGCAGATAACTCTAATTACCCCTGTGCTTGGCATCTGTATTTCTCGACTTGAGACTAAAGTAAGGCATTCTAATCAGCAGCTGAGGTTGTTAACATTCAAAAACCTAAACCTTTGTGGCGTCAAAAATTGAAATCCCAACTTGTGGAATTGTGGTGTTTATTGACAGTCAGTCCTCCAGAAACATCAATCACTTAATCTTATTAAATAATACTTATTACATATGTGCTCAAAAGATAACTCTATGTAAGCCCATTTCCACTGCTGTGATATTTTGTTATAATGCTAAAAGTGGTGTAAAACTTACTCTCATAATAAACTCAATATGGTTGCAAGACATTAATCATAAGGCAAGTTATTCTAGTCACTGGATTAATGTAATATCGTCATTAAATATTGTATCTCTATGAAATGATGACATATGGTGTCTAATCTCTGCGTGGACCAGGTCCACGGTCCTGCATAAACTCTTCCTTTAGCATGCAAGTAATGGCAACAATTATCATATTGATGTTCTATTTCAAGTGAAGTGGCATGTACACAGGTTGTCTAATAGGACCCCTTTGTTGCCACTGGCCTGTCCGCACCATATCCGTGTTCACTGTAAACGTCCTGTGTCATTTGAATGATTCTTCAACAATTAATGTCTGATAATACTAAGATATTGTTCAAAGCAGTGTTGAACCCGACTCACTCACTCGTTTACCCTTGCCACCATTGTCATCTATCCAACTGTCCGTGTGAAGCTGAGTATACTGCCTATGTGTCATGTTGAGGGAATGGTGTGTTCGTTATTACACAGCCTCATTGGTATGGGGATTTTGTAGGGAAATGTATTCGTCAGGGTTACAACAGTACTGCAAGAGTTAACACTTGCGATTATATACCCAGTACCTTTACCTTCCAACATTGTGTCTGACGTAGCTGTCTGCCTGTTGTCCCGTGGATGGCAACATTTCTTCTTCAATTAATTCTTACTTGTCCAACTGTCCTGTAGAATGATCAGTTATTCATATTCATAATGATGTTTGTAATATATAAATTATGTTTTGACTTAATTAATATACAATGTCAACACGTGTTTGTATTTTTATGAAATATTTTATTTATCAAGAGAAACAATAAAAGACTACACAATAACAAACTCTTAGTTGTAATATTTGTGATGCTGAAGTCAGTGAACATTACGTAGAGGCTACAGAGACAACTGATTATGGGAGGGCTAGTTATCATAGACTGAAAGTAAGTAGGAAGGGTTCTGCTTTACATGTAACAACAGAAGCAGTCCATTTCCCACCATTTCCTGAATAGCCAGAAATGGGGTGACAGCATACTCAATGATCCAGTATATTATATCTCCATTCTGTATATACCTGTGCCTTCATGCATCTCTTACTCGAGACTAGATGTCACATGAGAGGTATTTGATTAGATGTCTAATTACATCTTTGTGCCATTCAAATTGGTCACAGGGCGATCTTTTATCAGCAAATGGGTGCAGGGTATACATCATTTTAGAATGGAGATATAATACAGTGGAAAAGTGACAATGGGGGGTAGCAGAAGGTCCCAATTGATACATAGCTGTAGAAATGCTTGGTCCAGCATGTCTTATTCAGTACAACTTGGTCCTCAGCCTCCAGCTGTCCGAATAACATTTGGTAAGCGTCTGGTTTAATGACATCTCTTCTGAATTTAGCACAAAATACATACTTAAAGTAGTATAACTTGGCAACAGCGTCCTTAATAACAAAGGTGAAAGGACTTCCGTTTTAATTTCATCATTTCTAGTTGGTTAAGACAACAACAATAAAGTGCAACTAGGAAAATGACAACTCAATGTCTCCAGCTACCTCAATAAGAAAGTCATAAGTACTGGTTTAACTAC